TGCAATTTTGCACACGCTAGGCCCTTGTTCTTGCAAGTTTGCACCCGCTAGGCCCTTGTTCTTGAGATTTTGCACACGCTAGGCCCTTGTTCTTGAAATTTTGCGCACGCTAGGCCCTTGTTATTCAATTCTGCACACGCTAGGCACTTGTTCTTCCAATTTTGCAATCGCTAGGCCCTTGTTCTTGCAATTTTGCACTCGCTAGGCCCTTGTTCTTCCAATTTTGCACACGCTAGGCCCTTGTTCTTGCAATTTTGCACACGCTAGGCCCTTGTTCTTGAAATTTTGCACACGCTAGGCCCTTGTTCTTGCAATTTTGCACACGCTAGGCCCTTGTTCTTGAAATTTTGCACATGCCTTGCCCTTGTTCTTGAAATTTTGCACACGCTAGGCCCTTGTTCTTGCAATTTTGCACACGCTAGGCCCTTGTTTTTGCAATTTTGCACACGCTAGGCCCTTGTTCTTCCAATTTTGCACTCGCTAGGCCCTTGTTCTTGAAATTATGCACACGCTAGGCCCTTGTTTTTGCAATTTTGCATATGCTAGGCCCTTGTTCTTGAAATTATGCACACGCTAGGCCGTTGTTCTTGCAATTTTGCACCCGCTAGGCCCTTGTTCTTGAGATTTTGCACACGCTAGGCCCTTGTTCTTGAAATTTTGCACACGCTAGGCCCTTGTTATTCAATTCTGCACACGCTAGGCACTTGTTCTTCCAATTTTGCACTCGCTAGACCCTTGTTCTTGCAATTTTGCACTCGCTAGGCCCTTGTTCTTGAAATTATGCACACGCTTGGCCCTTGTTCTTGCAATTTTGCACACGCTAGGCCCTTGTTCTTGCAATTTTGCGCACGCTAGGCCCTTGTTCTTGCAATTTTGCACCCGCTAGGCCCTTGATCTTGAAATTTTGCACACGCTAGGCCCTTGTTCTTGAAATTTTGCACACGCTAGGCCCTTGTTCTTGCAATTTTGCACTCGCTAGGCCCTTGTTCTTGCATTTTTGAACCCGCTAGGCCCTTGTTCTTGAAATTTTGCACACGCTAGGCCCTTGTTCTTGAAATTTTGCACACACTAGGCCCTTGTTCTTCCAATTTTGCACACGCTAGGCCCTTGTTCTTGCAATTTTGCACACGCTAGGCCCTTGTTCTTCCAATTTTGCACATGCTAGGCCCTTGTTCTTGAAATGTTGCACACGAAAGGCCCTTGTAATTGCAATTGTGCACACGCTAGGCACTTGTTCTTCCAATTTTGCACTCGCTATGCCCTTGTTCTTGCAATTTTGCACTCGCTAGGTCGTTGTTCTTGAAATTATGCACACGCTAGGCCCTTGTTCTTGCAATTTTGCACACGCTAGGCCCTTGTTCTTGCAATTTTGCACACACTAGGCCCTTGTTCTTGCAATTTTGCACACGCTAGGCCCTTGTTCTTCCAATTTTGCACTCGCTAGCCCCTTGTTCTTGAAATGTTGCACACAAAAGGCTCTTGTTATTGCAATTTTGCACACGCTAGGCACTTGTTCTTCCAATTTTGCACTCGCTAGGCCCTTGTTCTTGCAATTTTGCACTCGCTAGGCCCTTGTTCTTGAAATTATGCACACGCTAGGCCCTTGTTCTTGCAATTTTGCACACGCTATGCCCTTGATCTTGCAATTTTGCACACGCTAGGCCCTTGTTCTTAAAATTTTGCACATGCTAGGCCCTTGTTCTTGACATTTTGCACACGCTAGGCCCTTGTTCTTGCAATTTTGCACCCGCTAGGTACTTGTACTTCCAATTTTGCACTTGCTAGGCCCTTGTTCTTGAAATTTTGCACACGCTAGGCCCTTGCTCTTGCAATTTGCACACGCTAGCCCCTTGTTCTTCCAATTTTGCACTCGCTAGGCCCTTTTTCTTGCATTTTTGCACACGCTAGGCCCTTGTTCTTGCAATTTTGCACACGCTAGGCCCTTGTTGTTGAAATTTTGCACTCGCTAGGCCCTTGTTCTTGAAATTTTGCATACGCTAGGCCCTTGTTCTTGCTATTTTGCACACGCTAGGCCCTTGTTCTTGCAATTTTGCACTCGCTAGGCCCTTGTTCTTGAAATTTTGCACACGCTAGGCCCTTGTTATTCAATTCTGCACACGCTAGGCACTTGTTCTTCCAATTTTGCACTCGCTAGGCCCTTGTTCTTGCAATTTTGCACTCGCTAGGCCCTTGTTCTTGAAATTATGCACACGCTAGGCCCTTGTTCTTGCAATTTTGCACACGCTAGGCCCTTGTTCTTGCAATTTTGCGCACGAAAGGCCCTTGTTCTTGCAATTTTGCACCCGCTAGGCCCTTGTTCTTGAAATTTTGCACACGCTAGGCCCTTGTTCTTGAACTTTTGCATACGCTAGGCCCTTGTTCTTGCAAGTTTGCACACGCTAGGTACTTGTACTTCCAATTTTGCGCTCGCTAGGCCCTTGTTCTTGAAATTTTACACACGCTAGGCCCTTGTTCTTGAAATTTTACACACGCTAGGCCCTTGTTCTTGAAATTTTGCATACGCTAGGCCCTTGTTCTTGCTATTTTGCACACGCTAGGCCCTTGTTCTTGCAATTTTGCACTCGCTAGGCCCTTGTTCTTGAAATTTTGCACACGCTAGGCCCTTGTTATTCAATTCTGCACACGCTAGGCACTTGTTCTTCCAATTTTGCACTCGCTAGGCCCTTGTTCTTGCAATTTTGCGCTCGCTAGGCCCTTGTTCTTGAAATTATGCACAAGCTAGGCCCTTGTTCTTGCAATTTTGCACACGCTAGGCCCTTGTTCTTGCAATTTTGCGCACGCTAGGCCCTTGTTCTTGCAATTTTGCACCCGCTAGGCCCTTGTTCTTGAAATTTTGCACACGCTAGGCCCTTGTTCTTGAAATTTTGCACACACTAGGCCCTTGTTCTTGCAATTTTGCACTCGCTAGGCCCTTGTTCTTGCATTTTTGCACCCACTAGGCCCTTGTTCTTGAAATTTTGCACATGCTAGGCCCTTGTTCTTGAAATTTTGCACACGCTAGGCCTTTGTTCTTCCAATTTTGCACACGCTAGGCCCTTGTTCTTGCAATTTTGCACACGCTAGGCCCTTGTTCTTCCAATTTTGCACACGCTAGGCCCTTGTTCTTGAAATATTGCACACGAAAGGCCCTTGTTATTGCAATTTTGCACACGCTAGGCACTTGTTCTTCCAATTTTACACTCGCTAGGCCCTTGTTCTTGCAATTTTGCACTCGCTAGGCCCTTGTTCTTCCAATTTTGCACACGCTAGGCCCTTGTTCTTGAAATGTTGCACACGAAAGGCCCTTGTTATTGCAATTTTGCACACGCTAGGCACTTGTTCTTCCAATTTTGCACTCGCTATGCCCTTGTTCTTGCAATTTTGCACTCGCTAGGCCCTTGTTCTTGAAATTATGCACACGCTAGGCCCTTGTTCTTGCAATTTCGCACACGCTAGGCCCTTGTTCTTGCAATTTTGCACACGCTAGGCCCTTGTTATTGCAATTTTGCACACGCTAGGCACTTGTTCTTCCAATTTTGCACTCGCTAGGCCCTTGTTCTTGCCATTTTGCACTCGCTAGGCCCTTGTTCTTGAAATTATGCACACGCTAGGCCCTTGTTCTTGCAATTTTGCACACGCTATGCCCTTGTTCTTGCAATTTTGCACACTCTAGGCCCTTGTTCTTGCAATTTTGCACCCGCTAGGCCCTTGTTCTTGAAATTTTGCACACGCTAGGCCCTTGTTCTTGACATTTTGCATACGCTAGGCCCTTGTTCTTGCAATTTTGCACACGCTAGGTACTTGTACCTCCAATTTTGCACTCGCTAGGCCCTTGTTCTTGCAATTTTGCACACGCTAGGCCCTTGTTCTTGCAATTTGCACACGCTAGCCCCTTGTTCTTCCAATTTTGCACTCGCTAGGCCCTTGTTCTTGCATTTTTGCAAACGCTAGGCCCTTGTTCTTGCAATTTTGCACACGCTAGGCCCTTGTTGTTGAAATTTTGCACTCGCTAGGCCCTTGTTCTTGAAATTTTGCATACGCTAGGCCCTTGTTCTTGCTATTTTGCACACGCTAGGCCCTTGTTCTTGCAGTTTTGCACTCGCTAGGCCCTTGTTCTTGAAATTTTGCACACGCTAGGCCCTTGTTATTCAATTCTGCACACGCTAGGCACTTGTTCTTCCAATTTTGCACTCGCTAGGCCCTTGTTCTTGCAATTTTGCGCTCGCTAGGCCCTTGTTCTTGAAATTATGCACACGCTAGGCCCTTGTTCTTGCAATTTTGCACACGCTAGGCCCTTGTTCTTGCAATTTTGCGCACGCTAGGCCCTTGTTCTTGCAATTTTGCACCCGCTAGGCCCTTGTTCTTGAAATTTTGCACACGCTAGGCCCTTGTTCTTGAAATTTTGCACACGCTAGGCCCTTGTTCTTGCAATTTTGCACTCGCTAGGCCCTTGTTCTTGCATTTTTGCACCCACTAGGCCCTTGTTCTTGAAATTTTGCACATGCTAGGCCCTTGTTCTTGAAATTTTGCACACGCTAGGCCTTTGTTCTTCCAATTTTGCACACGCTAGGCCCTTGTTCTTGCAATTTTGCACACGCTAGGCCCTTGTTCTTCCAATTTTGCACACGCTAGGCCCTTGTTCTTGAAATGTTGCACACGAAAGGCCCTTGTTATTGCAATTTTGCACACGCTAGGCACTTGTTCTTCCAATTTTACACTCGCTAGGCCCTTGTTCTTGCAATTTTGCACTCGCTAGGCCCTTGTTCTTGAAATTATGCACACGCTAGGCCCTTGTTCTTGCAATTTTGCACACGCGAGGCCCTTGTTCTTGCAATTTTGCAAACGCTAGGCCCTTGTTCTTGCAATTTTGCACATGCTAGGCCCTTGTTCTTCCAATTTTGCACTTGCTAGGCCCTTGTTCTTGCAATTTTGCAAACGCTAGGCCCTTGTTCTTGCAATTTTGCACACGCTAGGCCCTTGTTCTTCCAATTTTGCACTCGCTAGAATGGGGCGGGATGACGGAAAGCGGGAGAATGGGGCGGGGTGATGGAAGGAGGGAGAATGGGGCGGGGTGATGGAAGGAGGGAGAATGGGGCGGGGTGATGGAAAGCGGGAGAATAATGGAAAGCGGGAGAATGGGGTGGGGTGATGGAAAGCGGGAGAATGGGGTGGGGTGATGGAAAGCGGGAGAATGGACCGCGATGATGGAAAGCGGGAGAATGGGGCGGGGTGATGGAAAGCGGGAGAATGGGGCGGGTTGATGGAAAACGGGAGAATGGGGCGGGGTGATGGAAAGTGGGAGAATGGGGTAGGATGATGGAAAGCAGGAGAATGGGGCGAGGTGATGGAAGGAGGAAGAATGGGGCGGGGTGGTGGAAGGAGGGAGAATGGGGCGGGGTGATGGAAAGCGGGAGAATAATGGAAAGCGAGAGAATGGGGCGGGGTGATGGAGGGCGGGAGAATGGGGTGGGGTGATGGAAAGTGGGGGAATGGGGCGGGGTGATGGAAAGCGAGAGAATGGGGCGGGTTGATGGAAAGCGGGAGAGAAGGGAGGGGTGATGGAAAGCGGGAGAATGGGGTGGGATGATGGAAAACGGGAGAATGGGGCGGGGTGATGGAAAGCGGGAGAATGGGGCGGGGCAATGGAAGGAGGGAGAATGGGGCGGGGTGATGGAAGGAGGGTAAATTGGGCGGGGTGATGGAAGGAGGGAGAATGGGGAGGGGTGATGGAAGGTGGGAGAATGGGGCGGGGTGATGGAAAGCAGGAGAATGGGGTGGGGTGATGGAAAGCAGGAGAATGGGGCGCGGTGATGGAAAGCGAGAGGATGGGGCGGGTTCATGGAAAGCGGGAGAATGGGGAGGGGTGATGGACATCGGGAGAATGGGGCAGGGTTATGGAAAGCGGGAGAATGGGGCGGGGTGATGGAAAGCGGGAGAATGGGGCGGGGTGATGGAATGCCGGAGAATGGGCCAGGGTGATGGAAAGCGGGAGAATGGGGCAGGGTGATGGAAAGCGGGAGAATGGAGCGGGGTGATGGAAAACGGGAGAATGGGGCGGGGTGATGGAAAACGGGAGAATGGGGTGGGATGACGGAAAGCGGGACAATGGGACGGGGTGATGGAAGGAGGAAGAATGGGGCGGGGTGATGGAAGGAGGGAGAATGGGGCGGGGTGATGGAAAGTGGGAGAATGGGGTGGGGTGATGGAAAGCGGGAGAATGGGGCGGGGTGATGGAAAGCGAGAGAATGGGGTGGGAAGATGGAAATCGGGAGAATCTGGAGGGGTGATGGACAGCGGGAGAATGGGGCGGGATGATGGAAAGCGGGAGAATGGGACGGGGTGATCGAAAGCGGGAGAATGGGCCGGGGTGATGGAAAGCGGGAGAATGGGCCGGGGTGATGGAAAGCTGGAGAATGGGGCGGGGTGATGGAAAACGGGAGAATGGGGCGGGGTGATGGAAAGCGGGATTATGGGGCGGGTGATGGAAAGCAGTAGAATGGTGTGCGGAGATGGAAGCAGGAGAATGGGGCGGGTGATGGAAGCGGGAGAATGAGGTGGGTGATGGGAAGTGGGAGAATGGGGCGGGGTGATGGAAAGCGGGAGAATGGGGCGGGGTGATGGAAGGAGGGAGAATAGGGCAGGATGATGGAAGGAGGGGGAATGGGACGGAATGATGGAAAGCGGGAGAATGGGGTGGGGTGATGGAAAGCGGGGGAATGGGGCGGGGTGATGGAAAGCGAGAGAATGGGGCGGGTTGATGGAAAGCGGGAGAAAAGGGAGGGGTGATGGAAAGCGGGAGAATGGGGTGGGATGATGGAAAACGGGAGAATGGGGCAGGGTGATGGAAAGCGGGAGAATGGGGCGGGGCAATGGAAGGAGGGAGAATGGGGCGAGGTGATGGAGGGAGGGTAAATTGGGCGGGGTGATGGAAGAGGGGAGAATGGGGAGGGGTGATGGAAAGTGGGAGAATGGGGCGGGGTGATGGAAAGCGGGAGAATGGGGTGGGGTGATGGAAAGCAGGAGAATGGGGCGCGGTGATGGAAAGCGAGAGGATGGGGCGGGTTCATGGAAAGCGGGAGAATGGGGAGGGGTGATGGACAGCGGGAGAATGGGGCAGGGTTATGGAAAGCAGGAGAATGGGGCGGGGTGATGGAAAGCGGGAGAATGGGGCGGGGTGATGGAATGCCGGAGAATGGGCCAGGGTGATGGAAAGCGGGAGAATGGGGCAGGGTGATGGAAAGCGGGAGAATGGGGCGGGGTGATGGAAAACGGGAGAATGGGGCGGGGTGATGGAAAACGGGAGAATGGGGTGGGATGACGGAAAGCGGGACAATGGGACGGGGTGATGGAAGGAGGAAGAATGGGGCCGGGTGATGGAAGGAGGGAGAACGGGGCGGGGTGATGGAAAGCGGGAGAATGGGGTGGGGTGATGGAAAGCGGGAGAATGGGGCGGGGTGATGGAAAGCGAGAGAATGGGGTGGGAAGATGGAAATCGGGAGAATCTGGAGGGGTGATGGACAGCGGGAGAATGGGGCGGGATGATGGAAAGCGGGAGAATGGGACGGGGTGATCGAAAGCGGGAGAATGGGCCGGGGTGATGGAAAGCGGGAGAATGGGCCGGGGTGATGGAAAGCTGGAGAATGGGGCGGGGTGATGGAAAACGGGAGAATGGGGCGGGGTGATGGAAAGCGGGATTATGGGGCGGGTGATGGAAAGCAGTAGAATGGTGTGCGGAGATGTAAGCAGGAGAATGGGGCGGGTGATGGAAGCGGGAGAATGAGGTGGGTGATGGGAAGTGGGAGAATGGGGCGGGGTGATGGAAAGCGGGAGAATGGGGCGGGGTGATGGAAGGAGGGAGAATAGGGCAGGATGATGGAAGGAGGGGGAATGGGACGGAATGATGGAAAGCGGGAGAATGGGGCGGGGTGATAAAAAGCGGGAGAATGGGGTGGTTGATGAAAAGCGGGAGAATGGGGCGGGGTGAAAGAAAGCGGGAGAATGGGGCGAGGTGATGGAAGGAGGGAGAATGGGGCGGGGTGATGGAAAGTGGGAGAATGGAGCGGGGTAATAGAAAGCAGGAGAATGGGGCGGGGTGATGGAAGGAGGGAGAATGGGGCGGGGTGATGGAAGGAGGGAGAATGGGGCGGGGTGATGGAAAGCAGGAGAATGGGGCGGGGTGATGGAAAGTGGGAGAACGGGGCGGGGTGGTGGAAAGTGGGAGAATGAGGCTGGGTGATGGAAGGCTGGAGAATGGGCGGGGGTGATGGAAGTCAGGAGAATGGGGTGGGGTGATGGAAAGCGGGAGAATGAGGTAGGGTAATGGAAAGCGGGAGAATGGGGCGGGGTGATGGAAAGCGGGAGAATGGGGCGGGGTGATAGAAAGCAGGAGAATGGGGCGGGTTGATGGAAGGAGGGAGAATGGGGCGGGGTGGTGGAAGGAGGGAGAATGGGGCGGGGTGATGGAAATCGGGGAAATGGGGCGTAGTGATGGAAAGTGGGAGAATGGGGCGGGGTGATGGAAAGTGGGAGAATGAGGCTGGGTGATGGAAGGAGGGAGAATAGGGCGGGGTGATGGAAAGCTGGAGAATGGGGCGCGGTGATGGAAAGCGGGAGAATGGGGCCGGGTGGTGGAAAGTGGGAGAATGGGGCGGGGTGATAGAAAGCGGGAGAATGGGGCAGGGTGATGGAAGGAGGGAGAATGGGGCGGGGTGATGGAAATCGGGAGAATGGGGCAGGGTGATGGATAGCGGGAGAATGGGGCGGGGTGATGGAAAGCGGGAGAATGGGGCGGGGTGATTGAAAGCGGGAGAATGGGGCGGGGTGATGGAAAGTGGGAGCATGAGGAGGGGTGATGGAAGGAGTGAGAATGGGGCAGGGTGATGGAAGGAGGGAGAAAAGGGCGTGGTGATGGAAAGCGGGAGAATGGGGCTGGGTGATGGAAAGTGGGAGAATGGGTTGGGGTGATGGAAACCGGTAGAATGGGGAGGGGTGATGGAAGGAGGGAGAATGGGGCGGGGTGATGGAAGGAGGGAGAATGGGACGGGGTGATGGAAAGCGAGAGAATAGGGCGGGGTGATGGAAAGCGGGAGAATGGGGCGAGGTGATGGAAAGCGAGAGAATGGGGTGGGGTGATGGAAAGCGGGAGAATGGGGCGGGGTGATGGAAAGCGAGAGAATGGGGCGGGGTGATGGAAAGCGGGAGAATGGGGTGGGGTGATGGACAGCGGGAGAATAGGGAGGGGTGATGGAAAGCGGGAGAATGGGGTGGGGTGATGGAAAGCGGGAGAATGGGGCGGGGTGATGGAAAGCGGGAGAATGGGGCGAGGTGATGGAAAGCGGAAGAATGGGGCGGGGTGATGGAAAGTGGGAGAATGGGGTAGGGTGATGGAAAGCGGGAGAATGGGGCAGGGTGATGGAAAGCGGGAGAATGGTGCGGAGAGATGGAAGCGGGAGAATGAGGCGGTTGATGGAAGCCGGATAATGGGGTGGGTGATGGGAAGCGCGAGAATGGGGCGGGGTGATGGAAAGCAGGAAAATGGGGCGAGGTGATGGAAAGTGGGAGAATGGGGCAGGGTGACGGAAGGAGGGAGAATAGGGCAGGATGATGGAAGGAGGGGGAATGGGGCGGGGTAATGGTAAGCGGGTGAATGGGGTGGGGTGATGGAAAGCGGGAGAATGGGGTGGGGTGATGGACAGGGGGAGAAACGAGCGGGGTGATGGAAAGCGGGAGAATGGGGCAGGGTGATGGAAAGCGGGAGAATTTGGCGGGGTGATGGACAGGGGGAGAATGGGGCGGGGTGATGGAAAGCGGGAGAATGGGGCGGGAAAACGGAAAGCGGGAGAATGGGGCGGGGTGATGAAAAGCGGGAGAATGGGGCTAGGTGATGGAAAGTGGGAGAATGGGGCGGGGTGATGGAAAGCGGGAGAATGGGGCGAGGTGATGGAAAGCGGGAGAATGGGGCAGGGTGATGGAAAGCAAGAGAATGGGGCGGGGTGATGGAAAGCGGGAGAATGGGGCGGGGTGATGGAAAGTGGGAGAACGGGGCGGGGTGATGGAAGGAGGGATTATGGGGCGGGGTGATGGAAATCGGAAGAATGGGGCGGGGTGATGGAAAGTGGGAGAATGGGTCGGGGTGATGGAAAGTGGGAGAATGGGGCGGGGTGATGGAAAGCGGGAGAATGGGGCGGGGTGATGGAAAGCAGGAGAATAGGGCGGGGTGATGGAAAGTGGGAGGATGGGGCAGGGTGATGGAAAGCGGGAGAATAGGGCGGGGTGATGGAAAGCGGGAGAATGGGGCGGGGTGATGGAAAGCGGGAGAATAGGGCGAGGTGATGGAAGGAAGGATTATGGGGCGGGGTGATGGAAATCGGGAGAATGGGGCGGGGTGATGGAAAGTGGGAGAATGAGGCTGGGTGATTGAAAGCGGGAGAATGGGGCGGGGTGATCGAAAGCGGGAGAATGGGGCGGGTTGATGGAAAGCGGAGAACAGAGCGAGGTGATGGAAAGCGGGAGAATGGGGTGGGGTGATGGAAAGCGGGAGAATGGGGCGGGGTGATGGAAAGTGGGAGAATGGGGCGGGGTGATAGAAAGCGGGAGAATGGGGCGGGGTGATGGAAAACGGGAGAATGGGGCGGGGTGATAGAAAGCGGGAGAATGGGGCGGGTTGATGGAAGGAGGGAGAATGGGGCGGGGTGATGGAAGGAGGGAGAATGGGGTGGGGTGATGGAAATCGGGAGAATGAGGCGGGGTGATGGAAAGCGGGAGAATGGGGCAGGGTGATGGAAAGCGGGAGAATGGGGCGGGGTGATGGAAAGCGGGAGAATGGGGCGGGGTGATGGAAAGCGGGAGAATGGGGCGGGGTGATGGAAAACGGGAGAATGGGGCGGGGTGATAGAAAGCGGGAGAATGGGGCGGGGTGATGGAAGGAGGGAGAATGGGGCGGGGTGATGGAAGGAGGGAGAATAGGGCGGGGTGATGGAAAGCGGAAGAATGGGGCGGGGTGATGGAAAGCAGGAGAATGGGGCGGGGTGATGGAAAGCGGGAGAATGGGGCGGGGTGATGGGAAGCGGGAGAATGGGGCGGCGTGATAGAAAGCGGAAGAATGGGGCGAGGTGATGGAAGGAGGGGAATGGGGTGGGGTGATAGAAAGCGGGAGAATGGGGAAGGGTGATGGAAAGCGGGAGAACGGGGTGGGGTGATGGAAAGCGGGAGAATGGGGCGGGCTGATGGAAAACGGGAGAATGGGGAGGGGTGATGGAAAGCGGGAGATTGGGGTGGGGTTATGGAAAGCGGGAGAATGGGGCAAAATGATGGAAAGCGGGAGAATGGGGCGGGGTGATGGAAAGCGGGAGATTGGGGTGGGGTTATGGAAAGCGGGAGAATGGGGAGGGGTGATGGAAGGAGGGAGAATGGGCAGAGGTGATGGAAGGAGGGAGAATGGGGCGGGGTGATGGAAAGCGGGAGATTGGGAAGGGGTGATGGAAGGAGGGAGAATGGGCAGAGGTGATGGAAGGAGGGAGAATGGGGCGGGGTGATGGAAAGCGGGAGATTGGGGTGGGGTTGTGGAAAGCGGGAGAATGGGGCGGGGTGATGGAAAGCGGGAGAATGGGGCGGGGTGATGGAAAGCGGGAGAATGGGGCGGGGTGATGGAAAGCGGGAGAATGGGGTGGGGTGATGAAAAGCGGAAGAATGGGGCGGGGTGACGGAAAGTGGGAGAATGGGGCAGGGTGATGGAAAGCAGGAGAATGGGGCGAGGTGATGGAAAGAGGGAGAATGGGGCGGGTGATGGAAAGCGCGAGAATGAGGCGGGGTGATTGAAAGCGAGAGAATGGGGGCGGGGTGATGGAAAGCGGGAGAATGGGGCGGAGAGATGGAAAGCGGGAGAATGGGAAGGGGTGATGGAAAGCGGGAGAACGGGGTGGGGTTATGGAAATTGGGAGAATGGGGCGGGGTGATGGAAGGAGGGAGAATGGGGCGGGGTGATGGAAGGAGAGAGAATGGGGCGGGGTGATGGAAAGCGGGAGAAAGGGGCGGGGTGATGGAAAGCGGGCGAATGGGGCAGGGTTATGGAAAGCTGGAGAATGGGCCGGGTGATGGAAAGGGGAAGAATGGGGCGGGGTGATGGAAAGCGGGAGAATGGGGCGGGGTGATGGAAAGCGGGAGAATGAGGCGGGGTGATGGACAGCGGGAGAATGGGGCGGGATGATGGAAAGCGGGATTATGGGATGGGGTGATGGAAGGTGGGAGAATGGGGCGGGGTGATGGAAGGAGGGAGAATGCGGCGGGGTGATGGAAAGCGGGAGAATGGGTCGGGGTTTTGGAGAGTGGGAAAATGGTGCTAAGTGATGGAAAGCGGGAGAATGGCACAGGATGATGGAAAGCAGGACAATGGGGCAAGGTGATGGAAAGCGGGAGAATGGGGCAGGGTGATGGAAGGAGGGAGTATGGGGCGGGGTGATGGAAGGAGGGAGAATGGGGCCGGATGATGGAAGGAGGAAGAATGGGCCGGGGTGATGGAAAGCAGGAGAATGGGGCGGGGTGACGGAAGGCGGGAGAATGGGGAGGGGTGATGGAAAGCGTGAGAATTGGGCGAGGTGATGGAACGCGGGAGAATGGGGCGGCGTGATGGAAGGTGGGAGAATGGGGCGGGGTGATGGAAAGCGGGAGAATGGGACGGGGTGATGGAAAGCGGGAGAATGGGACGGGGTGATAAAAAGCAGGAGAATGGGGCGGGGTGATGGAAAGCGGGAGAATGGGGTGGGGTGATGGAAAGCGGGAGAATGGGGCGGGGTGATGGACAAGGGGAGAAAGGGGCGGGGTGATGGAAAGCGGGAGAATGGGGCAGGGTGATGGAAAGCGGGAGAATTGGGCGGGGTGATGGACAGGGGGAGAATGGGGCGGGGTGATGGAAAGCGGGAGATTGGGGCGGTGTGATGAAAAGCGGGAGAATGGGCCGGGGTGATGGAAAGCGGGAGAATGGGGTAGGGTGATGGAAAGCGGGAGAATGGGGCAGGGTGATGGAAAGCGGGAGAATGGTGCGCGGAGATGGAAGCGGGAGAATGAGGCGGTTGATGGAAGCGGGATAATGGGGTGGGTGATGGGAAGCGGGAGAATGGGGCGGGGTGATGGAAAGCAGGAGAATGGGGCGAGGTGATGGAAAGTGGGAGAATGGGTCGGGGTGATAGAAAAAGGGAGGATGGGGCAGGGTGATGGAAAGCGGGAGAATGGGGCGGGGTGATGGAAAGCGGGGGAATAGGGCGGGGTGATGGAAAGTGGGAGGATGGGGCAGGGTGATGGAAAGCGGGAGAATAGGGCGGGGTGATGGAAAGCGGGAGAATGGGGCGGGGTGATGGAAAGCGGGAGAATAGGGCGAGGTGATGGAAGGAGGGATTATGGGGCGGGGTGATGGAAATCGGGAGAATGGGGCGGGTTGATGGAAAGTGGGAGAATGGGGCGGGGTGATGGAAAGAGGGAGAATGAGGGTGGGTGATGGAAAGCGGGAGAATGGGGCGGGGTGATCGAAAGCGGGAGAATGGGGCGGGTTGATGGAAAGCGGAGAACAGGGCGAGGTGATGGAAAGCGGGAGAATGGGGTGGGGTGATGGAAAGCGGGAGACTGGGGTGGGGTGATGGAAAGTGGGAGAATGGGGCTGGGTGATAGAAAGCGGGAGAATGGGGCGGGGTGATGGAAGGAGGGAGAATGGGGCGGGGTGATGGAAGGAGGGAGAATGGGGTGGGGTGATGGAAATCGGGAGAATGAGGCGGGGTGATGGAAAGCGGGAGAATGGGGCAGGGTGATGGAAAGCGGGAGAATGGGGCGGGGTGATGGAAAGCGGGAGAATGGGGCGGGGTGATGGAAAGCGGGAGAATGGGGCGGGGTGATGGAAAACGGGAGAATGGGGCGGGGTGATAGAAAGCGGGAGAATGGGGCGGGGTGATGGAAGGAGGGAGAATGGGGCGGGGTGATGGAAGGAGGGAGAATAGGGCGGGGTGATGGAAAGCGGAAGAATGGGGCGGGGTGATGGAAAGCAGGAGAATGGGGCGGGGTGATGGAAAGCGGGAGAATGGGGCGGGGTGATGGGAAGCGGGAGAATGGGGCGGCGTGATAGAAAGCGGGAGAATGGGGCGAGGTGATGGAAGGAGGGGAATGGGGTGGGGTGATAGAAAGCGGGAGAATGGGGAAGGGTGATGGAAAGTGGGAGAACGGGGTGGGGTGATGGAAAGCGGGAGAATGGGACGGGGTGATGGAAAACGGGAGAATAGGGAGGGGTTAATGAAAGCGGGAGAATGGGGCGGGTTGATAGAAAGCGGGAGAATGGGGCAAAATGATGGAAAGCGGGAGAATGGGGCGGGGTGATGGAAAGCAGGAAAATGGGGCGGGGTGATGGAAAGCGGGAGAATGGGGCGGGGTGATTGAAAGAGGGAGAATGGGGACGGTGATGGAAAGCGGGAGAATGGGGCGGGGTGATGGAAAGCGGGAGAATGGGGCGGGGTGATGGAAAGCAGGAGAATAAGGCAGGGCGATGGAAAGCGGGAGAATGGGGCGGGATGATGGAAAGCGGGAGAATGGGGCGGGGTGATGGAAGGAAGGAGAATGGGGCGGGGTTATGAAAGGAGGGAGAATGGGGCGGGGTGATGGAAAGTGGGAGAATGGGGCGGGGTTATGGAAAGCGGGAGAATGGGGAAGGGTGATGGAAGGAGGGAGAATGGGCAGAGGTGATGGAAGGATGGAGAATGGGGCGGGGTGATGGAAAGCGGGAGATTGGGGTGGGGTTATGGAAAGCGGGAGAATGGGGAGGGGTGATGGAAGGAGGGAGAATGGGCAGAGGTGATGGAAGGAGGGAGAATGGGGCGGGGTGATGGAAAGCGGGAGATTGGGAAGGGGTGATGGAAGGAGGGAGAATGGGCAGAGGTGATGGAAGGAGGGAGAATGGGGCGGGGTGATGGAAAGCGGGAGATTGGGGTGGGGTTGTGGAAAGCGGGAGAATGGGGCGGGGTGATGGAAAGCGGGAGAATGGGGCGGGGTGATGGAAAGCGGGAGAATGGGGCGGGGTGATGGAAAGCGGGAGAATGGGGTGGGGTGATGAAAAGCGGAAGAATGGGGCGGGGTGACGGAAAGTGGGAGAATGGGGCAGGGTGATGGAAAGCAGGAGAATGGGGCGAGGTGATGGAAAGAGGGAGAATGGGACGGGTGATGGAAAGCGCGAGAATGAGGCGGGGTGATGGAAAGCGAGAGAATGGGGGCGGGGTGATGGAAAGCGGGAGAATGGGGCGGAGAGATGGAAAGCGGGAGAATGGGAAGGGGTGATGGAAAGCGGGAGAACGGGGTGGGGTTATGGAAATAGGAAGAATTGGGCGGGGTGATGGAAGGAGGGAGAATGGGGCGGGGTGATGGAAGAAGAGAGAATGGGGCGGGGTGATGGAAAGCGGGAGAATTGGGCGGGGTGATGGAAAGCGGGCGAATGGGGCAGGGTTATGGAAAGCTGGAGAATGGGCCGGGTGATGGAAAGGGGAAGAATGGGGCGGGGTGATGGAAAGCGGGAGAATGGGGCGGGGTGATGGAAAGCCGGAGAATGAGGCGAAGTGATGGATAGCGGGAGAATGGGGCGGGATGATGGAAAGCGGGATTATGGGGTGGGGTGATGGAAGGTGGGAGAATGGGGCGGGGTGATGGAAGGAGGGAGAATGCCGCGGGGTGATGGAAAGCGGGAGAATGGGTCGGGGTTTTGGAGAGTGGGAAAATGGTGCTAAGTGATGGAAAGCGGGAGAATGGCACAGGATGATGGAAAGCAGGACAATGGGGCAAGGTGATGGAAAGCGGGAGAATGGGGCAGGGTGATGGAAGGAGGGAGTATGGGGCGGGGTGATGGAAGGAGGGAGAATGGGGCCGGATGATGGAAGGAGGAAGAATGGGCCGGGGTGATGGAAAGCAGGAGAATGGGGCGGGGTGACGGAAGGCGAGAGAATGGGGCGGGGTGATTGAAAGCGGGAGAATAAGGAGGGGTGATGGAAAGCGGGAGAATTGGGCGAGGTGATGGAATGCGGGAGAATGGGGCGGCGTGATGGAAGGTGGGAGAATGGGGCGGGGTGATGGAAAGCGGGAGAATGGGACGGGGTGATGGAAAGCGGGAGAATGGGACGGGGTGATAAAAAGCAGGAGAATGGGGCGGGGTGATGGAAAGCGGGAGAATGGGGTGGGGTGATGGAAAGCGGGAGAATGGGGCGGGGTGATGGACAGGGGGAGAAAGGGGCGGGGTGATGGAAAGCAGGAGAATGGGGCAGGGTGATGGAAAGCGGGAGAATTGGGCGGGGTGATGGACAGCGGGAGAATGGGGCGGGGTGATGGAAAGCGGGAGAATGGGGCGGGGTGATGAAAAGCGGGAGAATGGGCCAGGGTGATGGAAAACGGGAGAATGAGCCGGGGTGATGGAAAGCGGGAGAATGGGGCGAGGTGATGGAAATCGGAAGAATGGGGCGGGGTGATGGAAAGTGGTAGAATGGGGTAGGGTGATGGAAAGCGGGAGAATGGGGCAGAGTGATGGAAAGCGGGAGAATGGTGCGCGGAGATGGAAGCGGGAGAATGAGGCGGTTTATGGAAGCGGGATAATGGGGTGGGTGATGGGAAGCGGGAGAATGGGGCGGGGTGATGGAAAGCAGGAGAATGGGGCAAGGTGATGGAAGGAGGGAGAATAGGGCAGGATGATGGAAGGAGGGGGAATGGGGCGGGGTGATGGAAAGCGGGAGAATGTGGTGGGGTGATGGAAAGCGGGAGAATTGGGCGGGGTGATGGACAGGGGGAGAAATGGGCGGGGTGATGGAAAGCAGGAGAATGGGGCGGGGTGATGGAAAGCGGGAGAATTGGGCGGGGTGATGGACAGGGGGAGAATGGGGAAGGGTGATGGAAAGTGGGAGAATGGGGCGGGGTAATAGAAAGCGGGAGAATGGGGCGGGGTGATGAAAAGCGGGAGAATGGGGCGAGGTGATGGAAAGTGGGAGAATGGGGCGGGGTGATGGAAAGCGGGAGAATGGGGCGGGGTGATGGAAAGCGGGAGAATGGGGCAGGGTGATGGAAAGCGGGAGAATGGGGCGGGGTGCTGGAAAGCGGGAGAATGGGGCGGGGTGATGGAAAGTGGGAGAACGGGGCGGGGTGATGGAAGGAGGGATTATGGGGCGGGGTGATGGAAATCGGGAGAATGGGGCGGGGTGATGGAAAGTGGGAGAATGGGTCGGGGTGATGGAAAGTGGGAGGATGGGGCGGGGTGATGGAAAGCGGGAGAATGGGGCGGGGTGATGGAAAGCGGGAGAATGGGGCGGGGTGATGGAAAGTGGGAGGATGGGGCAGGGTGATGGAAAGCGGGAGAATGGGGCGGGGTGATGGAAAGCGGGAGAATGGGGCGGGGTGATGGAAAGCGGGAGAATGGGGCGGGGTGATGGAAGGAGGGATTATGGGGCGGGGTGATGGAAATCGGGAGAATGGGGCGGGTTGATGGAATGTGGGAGAATGGGACGGGGTGATGGAAAGTGGGAGAATGAGGCTGGGTGATGGAAAGCGGGAGAATGGGGCAGGGTGATCGAAAGCGGGAGAATGGGGCGGGTTGATGGAAAGCGGAGAATGGGGCGAGGTGATGGAAAGTGGGAGAATGGGGCGGGGTGATGGAAAGCGGGAGAATAAGGCGGGGTGATGGAAAGTGGGAGAATGGGGCGGGGTCATAGAAAGCGGGAGAATGGGGCGGGGTGATGGAAGGAGGGAGAATGGGGCGGGGTGATGGAAGGAGGGAGAATGGGGCGGGGTGATGGAAATCGGGAGAATGGGGCTGGGTGATGGAAAGCGGGAGAATGGGGAAGGGTGATGGAAAGCGGGAGAATGGGGCGGGGTGATGGAAAGCGGGAGAATGGGGCGGGGTGATGGAAAGCGGGAGAATGGGGCGGGGTGATGGAAAGCGGGAGATTGGGGCGAGGTGATAGAAAGCGGGAGAATGGGGCGGGGTGATGGAAAGCGGGAGAATTGGGCAGGATGATGGACAGGGGGAGAATGGGGCGGGGTGATGGAAAGCGGGAGAATGGGTCGGGGTGATGGAAAGCGGGAGAATTGGGCAAGGTGATGGACAGGGGGAGAATGGGGCGGGGTGATGGAAAGCGGGAGAATGGGGCGGGGTAATGGAAAGCGGGAGAATGGGGCGGGGTGATGAAAAGCGGGAGAATGGGGCGAGGTGATGGAAAGTGGGAGAATGGGGCGGGGTGATAGAAAGTGGGAGAATGGGGCGGGGTGATGGAAAGCGGGAGAATGGGGCAGGGTGATGGAAAGCGGGAGAATGGGGCGGGGTGATGGAAAGCGGGAGAATGGGGCGGGGTGATGGAAAGCGGGAGAACGGGGCGGGGTGATGGAAGGAGGGATTATGGGGCAGGGTGATGGAAATCTGGAGAATGGGGCGGGGTGATGGAAAGTGGGAGAATGGGTCGGGGTGAAGGAAAGTGGGAGGATGGGGCAGGGTGATGGAAAGCGGGAGAATGGGGCTCGGTGATGGAAAGCGGGAGAATGGGGCGGGGTGATGGAAAGTGGGAGGATGGGGCAGGGTGATGGAAAGCGGGAGAATGGGGCAGGGTGATGGAAAGCGGGAGAATGGGGCGGGGTGATGGAAAGCGGGAGAATGGGGCGGGGTGATGGAAGGAGGGATTATGGGGCGGGGTGATGGAAATCGGGAGAATGGGGCGGGTTGATGGAATGTGGGAGAATGGGGCGGGGTGATGGAAAGTGGGAGAATGAGGCTTGGTGATGGAAAGCGGGAGATTGGGGTGGGGTTATGGAAAGCGGGAGAATGGGGAGGGGTGATGGAAGGAGGGAGAATGGGCAGAGGTGATGGAAGGAGGGAGAATGGGGCGGGGTGATGGAAAGCGGGAGATTGGGGAGGGGTGATGGAAGGAGGGAGAATGGGCAGAGGTGATGGAAGGAGGGAGAATGGGGCGGGGTGATGGAAAGCGGGAGATTAAGGTGGGGTTATGGAAAGCGGGAGAATGGGGCGGGGTGATGGAAAGCGGGAGAATGGGGCGGGGTGATGGAAAGTGGGAGAATGGGGCGGGGTGATGGAAAGCGGGAGAATGGGGTGGGGTGATGAAAAGCGGAAGAATGGGGCGGGGTGATGGAAAGCGGGAGAATGGGGCAAAATGATGGAAAGCGGGAGCATGGGGCGGGGTGATGGAAAGTGGGAGAATGGGGCGGGGTGATGGAAAGCAGGAGAATGGGGCGAGGTGATGGAAAGAGGGAGAATGGGGCGGAGAGATGGAAAGCGGGAGAATGGGAAGGGGTGATGGGAAGCGGGAGAACGGGGTGGGGTTATGGAAAGTGGGAGAATGGGGCGGAGAGATGGAAAGCGGGAGAATGGGAAGGGGTGATGGGAAGCGGGAGAACAGGGTGGGGTTATGGAAAGTGGGAGAATGGGGCGGGGTGATGGAAGGAGGGAGGATGGGGCGGGCTGATGGAAGGAGAGAGAATGGGGCAGGGTGATGGAAAGCGGGAGAATGGGGCGGGGTGATGGAAAGCGGGCGAATGGGGCAGGGTTATGGAAAGCGGGAGAATGGGCCGGGGTGATGGAAAAGGGGAGAATGGGGCGGGGTGATGGAAAGCAGGAGAATGGGGCGGGGTGATGGAAAGCGGGAGAATGAGGCGGGGTGATGGAAAGCGGGAGAATGGGGCGGGATGATGGAAAGCGGGATTATGGGGTGGGGTGATGGAAGGAGGGAGAATGGGGCGGGGTGATGGAAGGAGGGAGAATGCGGCGGGGTGATGGAAAGCGGGAGAATGGGTCGGGGTTTTGGAGAGTGGGAGAATGGTGCTAAGTGATGGAAAGCGGGAGAATGGGTCTGGGTTTTGGAGAGTGGGAGAATGGTACTAAGTGATGGAAAGCGGGAGAATGGCACAGGGTGATGGAAAGCAGGACAATGGGGCAGGGTGATGGAAAGCGGGAGAATGGGGCAGGGTGATGGAAGGAGGGAGTATGGGGCGGGGTGATGGAAGGAGGGAGAATGGAGCCGGATGATGGAAGGAGGAAGAATGGGCCAGGGTGATGGAAAGCAGGAGAATGGGGCGGGGTGACGGAAGGCGGGAGAATGGGGCGGGGTGATGGAAAGCAGGAGAATGGGGCGAGGTGACGGAAAGCGGGAGAATTGGGCGAGGTGATGGAAAGCGGGAGAATGGTGCGGCGTGATGGAAGGTGGGAGAATGGGGCGGGGTGATGGAAAGCGGGAGAATGGGACGGGGTGATGGAAAGCGTGAGAATGGGACGGGGTGATAAAAAGCAGGAGAATGGGGCGGGGTGATGGAATATGGAGAATGGGGCGAGGTGATGGAAAGCGGGGGAATGGGGGAGGGTGATGGAAGGAGGGAGACTGGGGCGGGGTGATGGAATGAGGGAGAACGGGGCGGGGTGATGGAAAGCGGGAGAACGGGGCGGGGTGATGGAAAGCAAGAGAATGGGGCCGGGTGATGGAAGGAGGAAGAATGGGGCAGGGTGATGGAAGGAGGGAGAATGGGGCGGGGTGATGGAAAGCGGGAGAATGGGACGGGGTGATGGAAAGCGGGAGAATGGGACGGGGTGATGGAAAGCGGGAGAATGGGGCGGGGTGATGGAAAGCGGGAGAATGGGGCGGGGTGATGGAAAGTTGGAGAATGGGGCGGGGTGATGGAAAGTGGGAGAACGGGGCGGGGTGATGGAAAGCAGGAGAATGGGGCGGGGTGATGGAAAGCGGGAGAATGGGGCGGGGTGATGTAAGGAGGGAGAATGGGGCGGGGTGATGGACAGCGTGAGAATGGGGCAGGGAGATGGAAAGCGGGAGATTCGAGCGGGGTGATGGAAAGCGGAAGAATGGGGAGAATTTGGTTGGGTGATGGAAAGCGGGAGAATGGGGCGGGGTGATGGAAAGCGGGAGAATGGGGCAGGGTGATGGAAGGAGGGAGAATGGGGCGGGGTGATGGAAGGAGGGAGAATGGGGCGGGGTGATGGAAAGCGGGAGAATGGGGCAGGGTGATGGAAAGCGGGAGAATGGTGCGGGGTGATGGAAAGCGGGAGAATAAGGAGGGGTGATGGAAAGCGGGAGAATTGGGCGGGGTGATGGAAAGAGGGAGAATGGGGCGGCATAATGGAAGGTGGGAGAATGGGGCGGGGTGATGGAAGGAGGGAGTATGGGGCGGGGTGATGGAAGGAGGGAGAATGGGGCCGGATGATGGAAGGAGGGAGAATGGGCCGGGGTGATGGAAAGCAGGAGAATGGGGCGGGGTGACGGAAGGCAGGAGAATGGGGCGGGGTGATGGAAAGCGGGAGAATAAGGAGGGGTGATGGAAAGCGGGAGAATTGGGCGGGGTGATGGAAAGCGGGAGAATGGGGCGGCGTAATGGAAGGTGGGAGAATGGGGCGGGGTGATGGAAGGAGGGATAATGGGGCGGGTTGATGGAAAGCAGGAGAATGGGGCGGGGTGATGGAAGGAGGGACAATGGGGCGGGGTGATGGAAGGAAGGAGAATGGGGTGGCGTGATGGAAAGCGGGAGAATGGGGTGGGGTGCTGGAAAGCGGGAGAATGGGGCGGGGTGATTGAAAACGGGAGAATGGGGCGGGGTGATGGATGGAGGGAGACTGGGCGAGGTGATGGAAATCGGGAGAATGGGGCGGGGTGATTCAAAGCGGGAGAATGGGCTGGGGTGATGGAAAGCAGGAAAATGGGTCGGGGTGATGGAAAGCGGGAGAATGGGGCAGGGTGATGGAAAGCGTGAGACTGGGGCGGGGTGATGGAAAGTGGGAGAATGAGGCTGGGTGATGGAAAGCGGGGGAATGGGGCGGGGTGATGGAAAGCGGGAGAATGGGGCGGGGTGATGGAGAGCGGGAGAATGGGCTGGGGTGATGGAAAGCCGGAGAATGGGGCAGGGTGATGGAAAGCCGGAGAATGGGGCGGGGTGATGGAAAGCAGGAGAATGGGGCGGGATGATGGAAAGTGGGAGAATTGGGCAGGGTGATGGAAAGCGGGAGAATGGTGCTAAGTGATGGAAAGCGGAAGAATGGCACAGGGTGATGGAAAGACGGACAATGGGGCAGGGTGATGGAAAGCGGGAGAATGGGGCATGGTGATGGAAGGAGGGAGTATGGGGCGGGTTGATGGAAGGAGGGAGAATGGGGCCGGATGATGGAAGGAGGAAGAATGGGCCGGGGTGATGGAAAGCAGGAGAATGGGGCGGGGTGACGGAAGGCGGGAGAATGGGGCGGGGTGATGGAAAGCGGGAGAATAAGGAGGGGTGATGGAAAGCGGGAGAATTGGGCGAGGTGATGGAAAGCGGGAGAATGGTGTGGGGTGATGGAAGGAGGGAGAATCAGGCGGGGTGATGGAAAGCGGGAGAATGGGGTGGGGTGATGGAAAGCGGGAGAATGGGGAGGGGTGATGGAAAGCAGGAGAATGGGGCGGGGTGATAGAAAGCGGGAGAATGGTGTGGGGTGATGGAAGGAGGGAGAATCAGGCGGGGTGATGGAAAGCGGGAGAATGGGGCGGGGTGATAAAAAGCGGGAAAATGGGGCGAGGTGATGGAAATAGGGGGAGAATGGGGCGGGGTGATGGAAAGCGGGAGAATGGGGCGGGGTGATGGAAGGAGGGAGAATGGGGACGGGTGATAGAAAGCGGGAGAATGGGGCGGGTTGATGGGAAGCGGGAGAATGGGGCGCGGTGATGGAAAGC